TTTGTTTTTCTCTGGTACCGGGAACCGAACTCATGACCTTGCGCTTGCCAGGCAGGCGCTTTTGCCGCTGAGCTAAATCCCCAGCCCCGCTTTTTATATTTCAATGAAAATACCGTGTGACCCTTTCATGACCAAAATGACCAGGGTACTAATGGAACCATCTTTGGAGGAAGTACTAAATATTTGTATCATTTAAATAAATCCTCCAGTAAGAAATGGAGAAGTCACTGCCTTTACTTTGAAGGCTTTGTAGCCATCTGTCAAATTTCTACGTGCAGCTCACCAACATTCCCTTATTGGAAATATCGGTATTTCTGTATCATAGTTCTCAAAAGGACTTGAAAGTCTAAAATTCTGTATCTCCTTTGACCTCCTTCTCTCTTGATTCCACCCAGGCTTTATTAATGGTTCGCTTCATACCGTCATCTCCATCTTCATAAATTTTCTTTAGAACATTCATTAATCCCTCACTAGGATCTGTCTCATCATCGTAGGATGGCTTTTCTTTTTCTTTGCACTCTTTTTCAACCTCAGTTAAGTATTCCCACCAAGTGTTTTCCGCTTTCTTTCTACACAAGATAAGAGCTGTATCAGTCTTGATTTTTTTTAAACTACCTTCCACTGATATGGGTTTCAAGAGATAGTTCACAATCATGGAGAAACTCTTACCATTTAAATTCTTTACCAAAAGATCAGATGACCTCTCTGTGAAATGCACCTGCACATTCTCAGCAGGAATTTGATGAACTCCAGTTAAGGTAATGTAGATTTTCACAAACTTACCTGACTGATCCCATCCGTAATTACTGATCTTCACTGTGTAACCTGTCGCGATGGGAGCAGCCACAGCAGCTGGTTTTTCATTGTCAAGAAGTTCTGGCTTCTTCTGTGATTTATGTTGCATCTTATTCTTGTTTGGTTTTTGTTTTTGGTTTTGGTTTTGGTTTTTTGTTGTTGTTGTTTTTTCCCCCCCCCCCCGCCCCCTGTACCAGGAATCAAACTCATGACCTTGCGCTTGCCAGGCAGGCGCTGTGCCGCTGAGCTAAATCCCCAGCCCCTTTATTTCTGTTTCAATCTTGGATTTTTCCACTATTAGGGCATCACGTACTCTCTTCCCAGTGGCTTTATCTAGCAACACCTTTACCTCTTCTAGATCATTCTGCAGCTCCTCCAAAGCCGAAGCCATGACCGGGCAGGGTTGGGCCCAAAGCCGAGGCTGCAGGCGTGCACAAAAGGTCAGGAACCACCGGACACGATACACTCCATGCACTCCCCGCAAGCATGGACCTCACCAGCACGAGCCCCGGGCCGGCCTCTGTGGTGGGTTCAAGGTCTTCTCCAAGTAAGGTATTAAGTTAATCCACCCAGGCTTGGGATGCCTGAGGCTATAGTCTTTATCTAGTTGAGGTTGGATCCAGGTGTCCTTGGCTGTGATTGTTTTTATCCTTTGTGGCTTTCCAGTTTTACAGGCCTTTACAGGCCTTAGGAGGGATTAGTGACTCACAGAGGTTTACTTACTATGAGTCCACCACCCATCTCCTTGGACAGACTCACAAGTAAATATGAAAAGCCACTGGGCATGGTGGTGCACGCTTGTAATTCCAGCACTTAGGAGGCTGAGGCAGGAGGAACATCGGGAGTTTGAGGCCAGCCTGGGCTACAAAGTGAGCTCAAGGCCAGCCTGAACTGCATAGCGAGACCCTGCCTCAATAAAACAAAACAAAACATGAAAAGCCAACTGCTTAAGTCCTGCTCAGGGCTGCTTCATAGTGGTCTCTATCAATCTAGAACAATCCTGTTTATTTCTTGTCTTCATTTTTTTTTTTCCTTTTTGAGACAGGGTCTCACTATGCAGTTCAGGCTGGCCTTGAGCTCACTTTATAGCCCAGGCTGGTCTCGAACTTGCAACGATCCTCCTGCCTCAATCTCCCAAATGCTGGGATTACAAGCGTGAGCCACCATGCCCCCTGCCTGTTTATTTCTTGTTTTGGGGTTTGTTTTTTTTTTTGTCTTTTTGAGACAGGGTCGCACTATGCAATTGAGGCTGGCTTTGTGCTCACTTTGTAGCCCAGGCTGGCCTCGAACTCACAAGGATCCTCCTGCCTCAGCCTCCCGAGTGCTGTGATTACAGACATGCACCACCATGCCTGGCTTGTTTTTTTCTTATATAACCTAAATAGAGTCCAGTGCCTGGCATGGCTAAAACTGCACTTGACCAAAAGTATTTGAAATATTCATTGAACAAGTTATAAGTAGTTTTGGATTTGGGTGTTGTAGCGAAGAAAGGAGAAGAAAGGAGGAAAGAAGAAGAAACAGTCTCTCCAAACAAGTTAGGGTCCATTCCTTGCATGAGGCATTTATTTATACATTTTAAGGACCCAAGGGCTAGCTGGGGAGATAGCTCAGTGGTGCAAGCACCTGCCTGGCAAGCACAAGGTCCTGAGTTTGATCCCCAGTACCAAAAAAAAAAAAGAACCCAGGGGCTAGCTGGCCGTGGTGGTGCCTGCCTATAATCCCAGCACTTGGTAAACTGAGGCAGGAGGATCGTTGCAAGTTCGAGATCAGCCTGTGCTACATAGTGAGCTGAAGGCCAGCCTGAACTACATAGCGAGACCTTGTCTCGAAAAGAGAGAGAGAGAGAGGAAGGAAGAGAGGGAAGGAAAAGGAAGAAAGAAAAAAAGACACAAAGAAAGAAAGAAAGAACATAGCCAGGGGCTGTTGCAATGTTCTACTATTTATTGAGCACTTACACAATGATTCAACCCCAACTGTGGAAAGGAATTTGACTCCCCAGCTAGCTACGTTACTGAATAAAACTCTTTATCCTATTAAACTGCTCCGCCAAGTATAGTGGTGCATACCTGTAATCCCAGCCCTGGGGAGGCTGAGGCAGGAGGATTGCTGTGAGTTTGAGGTTAGCCTGAACAACAGTGAGACCTCGTCTCAAAAAAAAAAAAAAAAAAAAAAAAAACAACTGTCCCAGTGCCTCCCAAAGCACACAGGCCCCAGAGTAGGATCCCACCCTCAGGGCCCTCTGTGCCTCTTAGCTTCTACCGTTATCCTGGGAGGAGCCCCTCCCACAGGCCAGCACACACAGACAACATCCGGACACTCACACTCACCCGGAGTGCCTGGGTGCCACACGACCACTGAGGACCTCTGAGAGCCTGATGTGTCAACACCCCTCTGGGAGGTGCCTGGGGATTTGTCCCAGCACCAGGCTCTCGTGGAAACGGCAGGCAGAGCAGAAGTGAACAACTCAGTCACGCTGAAAATGCAACACTGAGGCCCAGAGATGGAACGTGGCCATTCGCAGCTGTCACCCCGAACTCACTAAGCAAAATCAGTTTGTGCCAGACTTCCAAAAACGTAATCATATGAAAACTATTTTTATTGCCTGGAAGCGTGGTTACAAACAGTTTACTGCAAGTTAGAAGGTCTACTGTGGGATCTTTGTTGAGAAGCATAAATATAGAAAGCAAAGTGGTTGTTTTCTATTTTACTGCAGGAAACATTTAGTTATCAATGTCATGCACTAAACATAGAGGAATGGCTTAAGGAGAGTTCCTTAATAGTTAATAACTTTAATAGGGGCCGGGGATGTAGCTCAGCGGCATAAGTGCTTGCCTGGCAAGGCTGAGGTCATGAGTTCGATTCCCGGTACCCCCCCCCCAAAAAAGCTTTAATGAGTCGGTTATTCTTCAAATAAATAAGCTTACGTTCCTTTTTGCTTTCTTTCTTTCTTTCTTTTTATTTATTTATTTATTTTAGTGTGCGTGTATGTGTGTTTGTGTGTGTGGTATTGGGGATTGAACCCTGGGGTTTTACACTGAGCTACATCCCCAGCAACCTCTAAACCTTTTTTTTTTTTTTGAGATAGAGTCTTGCTAAGTTCAGGCTGTGCCTGAACTTACAGTCCTCCTGCCTCAGCCTCCTAGAGTACACCAGCAAAACTGTATTTCTGGCCAAGCATGGTGGCACACACCTGTAATCCCAGCACTTGGGAGGCTGAGGCAGCAGGATCACCTAGAGTTCAAAGCCAGCCTGGGGTGAGTTCGGTTCCCGGTACCGGAGAAAAAAAAAAAAAAAAGCCAGCCTGGGCTAGGTAGTGAGTTCAAGGTTCAAGGGCAGCCTGAACTACTATACATAGCAAAACTCTGTCTCAAAAATAAACAAACAACAACAACAAAAAAAAGCAGAGGGAACAGCTCCGAGGTAGAACACATGCACAGCGTGAATGATGCCCTGTATTAGATCCTAGCAAACACACATGCACGTGCACACACACACTCACACACACATATGTGCACATAGCTGTGCTGAGAGGAACAGAGATAAGAGATGGTAAGAAAGTCTCGTGAGGGTAGATTTTTTCTTTTGAGGGTAGATTTTTATCTAGGGCTAAATAAAAGAATCCAAGGGGGCTGGGGATTTAGCTCAGCGGCACAGCACCTGCCTGGCAAGCGCAAGGTTGTGAGTTCAATTCACAGTACCGGAAAAACAAACAAACAAAAAAAAGAATCCAAGATATAAGTTCAAAAGGACAAACAAAATAACTTTATTGGGAAAAGAGAGAGAAATAAAGAGATAGATAGGGGCTGGGGATTTAGCTCAGCAGCACAGCGCCTGCCTGGCAAGCACAAGGTCATGAGTTCGATTCCCAGTTCCAGAAAAAACAAACAAACAAAAAAAAAGAATCAGAGATACACAAAAAAAAAAGAATCAGAGATATAAGTTCAGAAGGACAAACAAAATAACTTTATTGGGAAAAGGGAGAGAAATAAAGAGATAGATAGCTACATTGTCTGAGAAAGGTAAGGAGTCTGGAGCCAGAACTCAAGGTCTTTTTTCTCAGCCCCTTTTATTACATGACAAGAAAGGGACTGTCCCCCTTGAGAATTGTTATAGCTCACTTGGCTTTTTTTTTTTTTTCTCCAGACTCAATCTCCTTATGCAGTTAAGGCTGGTCCTGAATTCATTATGTAGCCCAGGCTGGCCTGGAACTCCCAGTGATCCTCCTGCCTCAGCCTCCTGAGTACTGGGATGACAGGTGTGCGCCACCACACCGTGTTGAGACACACCTTCTTATTAATTCTCTGTTTTTCTTAGCCATTTTCTCTAGCAGGGGCTGAACTCTTTTATTTGCCACAGTGGGACCGTCAGGGTTGGATTGCAGACCCCATTTCCTTCCCCACAGTACATGTGGCTCACAAGGGGCTTTGCTGAGGCAGCTTCACTTTGCACTCATTTAATTTCTCTTCCTTGCAACCCGAAGAATCCTGACTAAGCTGATTAGGAAAAAAGCGATAGCCTTTGCTGCCTAGGTACTTTCGGTAAGATGTGGAGAAACACCTCTCCTTGACTGAAAACTCCCTGCTCAAAGATGATCGGTTTCTCATTTCCAAGCACAGTACACTTCACCGATTTCTATTCTTGTCTGCCTGCTGGCTTCCTTCTCCTGTGGCCCCCTGATTCCGCCCCAGGGTTCTCTTTCTTCTCTGGCAGCTCTCCCTCAGCACCCTTTGCTGTGCCCTGCATGCCTTTCGCAGGTGACCTCTGCGATTCTGTTCTCGGTCTTCTTCACATCTTCCTCTTAACGTGTAACCCCCCACTCTCATAATTTTAACTTTAGGACCCTTGTTTTTGCTTTCCCGGGGCACCTACCAATGTGTCCCAAACAGAATTTCCTTTTTTTTTTTTTTTTTTTTTTTTTGAGACAGGGGCTCATTCTGTAGCCCAAGCTGGCCTCAAACTCAGAAGCAACCCTCCTGCCTCAGCCTCCCGAGTGCTGGGATCGCAGTCATGCCCCACCAGGTCCAGCATTTAGGCTGTCCTTAAACTCACTCTGTAGCCCAGGCTGGCCTCAAACTCCAGGTGATGCTCCTGACTCAGCTTCCCAGGCTGCTGGGATTACAGGTGTGCTCCACCATGCCTGACTTCTCCTCAGCTGTGCTTTTTTTTTTTTTTTTTTTTTTTTTTTTTTTTTTTTTTTGAGACAGGGGCTCATTCTGTAGCCCAAGCTGGCCTCAAACTCAGAAGCAACCCTCCTGCCTCAGCCTCCCGATTACAGGCATGCGCCACCACGCCCAGCCTCCCCAGCTGTTCTCTAGTCAGCTTCTTACTGAGCTCTCAAGTGAGGTAAGACATCGGTCTCCCTACTCCCCAGTCAAGGGACTCTGTCCCTGAGCTGTCCCAAGAACG